CCTGTGCCTCGGGGGATGTGAGTATTAATGTTTCCTCGAAACACAATCCAAGTAACGATTACAACGTAAATGTTAAGACAATGTTGTAATATAGAACTGTAATTTCTAGACAGAGACAGAGCAGTTCTCAAGGTACAGTGTTGGTGCACATCCTGACGTTCAGCAGCCTCTCTCTCATCATTTCTGCCATGGATTAAAGCTGAGTATCCCCTCTGTCCATCAGCATGCAGTCAAGACTTAATGCCCTTTCTGATAACACACACCTTTGTGAACCTGTTTTTTCCTTTATGCAAGCTACATTACTACATTACTTGACTTCAGAACAGAATGGATAAAGGAAACATCCTCCCATAGCGTTTTTTTCACACAATGTTAAATTGGTCACATAGAAACAGGCTCAAAGTGTGTCTAATCTTTATAATATTTGTTCAGGTCAAGTGCTGGGCAAATAAAGTCTCTCTCTTTCTCATCCCCACTGAAGCTGTCCTGAAGCTGGGTTCTGTTTTTTTATGGCCATGAAATAAACTTACCTTTAAACTTCAATAATGCAAATTGCTGCTATGGGCCTACCAGGTATATGTGTTGTTTCTGTTTGTATGTAGGTTATGATTTTTGAATCCCCCACCCCTTCAAATTCGAACACTGGTTAACGGTGAAGAGCTGTTGAAGTTGGCCCCATTCATTTTTCTATGAAACACAAGGACATTGCTTCGCAAAGCATTGTGGGATTCCCAGTGATGCTGGACCAGCAGGTGCTGTGAAAAAAAGGGAGGGTTCAAGAAGATTTTCAATGTCTTGCAAATGAGGTGGTGTTCTCCATAAGAGGGATGATGGAGGAGAAGATGTTGAACATGTAGAGAGAGGAGATAAAGACAGTGAGTTGATGCAGCAGAGAATGAAATGCAGCAGTTTCCAGCTGTTAGAGAAACAGAAATGGTGGGGAAGAGAGAGTTCAGAAACAGCACACATGCCTCACCACTGACTGCCATTAAAGTGTGCACAGGGAAGAAGAGGTGAGAAGAAAAGGAACATCAGCAGAAGGTTGGGGAAGAGGTACAGGGCCTCAGATGGCAATTAGAAGGAAACAAGCCAGCAGTTCTATAGGAAGAGCAGAATTACCTCACTGACAACACAAGTGAATGCCACTAGAGAACAGCAAGCAGGCAGTCAAGAAAGTGCTGACAGTTTAGAAGAACAGCTCATAATTATGTTGGGGCAGGCCCGGAGTGGCTAATCGGGAGGACCGGGACAATTCCCGGTGGGCCGGTCTGACTTTTGGGCTGCGAGGGCCGGTGTTCAATTATTATTTTTATTTATTTATTTATTTTGGGCCGGTGTTCAGTCATGGCACTGAGTGGGTATCACGTGTATGCTGTTACCGCTGTCGCTGGGCCGTCTCCACTTTTTTTGCAGACGCAGCCTGACGTAACACGTCCGTGCACACCGCACACTGTCAGTGGTGTTTGTAGCCTGGCTCCAGCCCCAGAAGTGCAAGGGTGTTTGCAAAATGGAAAATAAAAAGAGCAAGGGTGGCGCAGAAAAAGCGAGAATTAAAAAGAGAAAAGCACTGGAGACAGATGCAGCCAAATGTGCAAAAATCGGCAGCTTTTTCAATAAAACGTGCTCGCGGTCTGAAACGACCAATGAAAATGATGAAACGGGTAAGACAAGATGTTGAACAAAAATGCACTTTACCCTTGAACCGTTCAAGTTAATTAATTAGCCT